AGCCAACTGGGGGTAAGGCAGGCAAGTACGAGGGTGAGCTCGATAGCAACGGCTTCCCAGATGGCCTGGGAGTGCTAAAGAATATGGGCGACGGCGCCCTGCTCTATGAGGGCTCCTGGCGGGCCGGCAAGTTCCACGGCGAGGGCACCAAGTTCTTCGATGACGACCCCTCCAAGATGGAGTACACGGGCTGGTGGAAAGACGGCAAACGAGACGGCGTCGGCAAATCATTCCTCCGCAGCGGCGCGATGGAATACTACGGAGAGTGGGAGGCTGACGAATACCATGGACACGGCACCAAATATCACAGGGGCGGCGTTCAGAAAGAGTACGAGGGGCAATGGCAGCAAGGGATGTATCACGGCGAAGGCATCAAGTATCGGCCAGGAGGGATGGCTGAGTACGAAGGGCAGTGGCATCAGGGTGTGTATCATGGAGAAGGAACCCTGTATGATGACTCTGGGTGGGAGACATATACAGGCCGGTGGACAAAAGGGCACAGGTAAGTCGCACAAGAGAGGAAAAAGGACTTGCAGCCGATTCATTTCTCTACACCCTTCTTTTCACAGGGACCCCATTCCTATCGATCTGTCTCTTTATTCCATCTTCATCTTCTACAGCTATGGTCAGGACAGGCTGGATAGTCAATCGTTTGTCAGACTACTCGCGGTAAGCAAATGCATGAATTGTCGGCACACGGGACAATTTTCCCTATCAGGATGCTAAGGTCCTCGGTGACCGTCCTCGGCTGAGCTCAAGCGATGTCAATCGGATATTCGCTGAATCAACAGAAGAGGGGACGCTAGGCATCACATTCGCAGACTTTGAAGAAAAACTCTCTGCCATTGCACAGAAGTACGGCTTCTCCATAGAAGGCATCAGGCAGCAGGTGATTGGCAACAACAGGCCTATGCAATCTGTGAGATTGTGAGATTGTGTGATTGTGTCTCCCTTTTCAGATCATGAGCACCCTTGCATTCACACCAGGTGAAAGAAAACCTATAGTTCCGCTCATACGCTTTTCCGCTTCGTTTCGTGGCAGGCTCCACCGTTGGGAGGCTGACGAATGCGCAAATTGCAGAGTTCAAGCAGGCTTTCGAGGAGTGTGCTGCTTTCATTCGAAGAGCTTCTGGCACAGTTTCTGACCGCAATGATAGTGACTGAGCACATTGAAAGGCTTAGTGTGCTCACTCTGCATCTCGCCACTGTTCGTCTCAGCCATCAAGATCGACCATAGCTGCAATACCTGATCAATGAGTTCAAGAAAAACAGAACGGCTGACCAAGGTGAGAGACACCAAAGGCCATACATAGTAAGTGGCATGGATGGATCACTTATGTAGATACTGTTTCTTTCGAAGACTTTGTCTCCGTCATGGTGCTTTATCGAAATATGCAAGGTCTCCGCTTAATGCACCTATGCAACCCCCAAAACACTTTGTAGGCGTACCATTTCTTTTGGTAGGCGAGATAACAGCAAGAACAGGAAGAAGGCCCCCGTCGCCAGCAAGAGCAACGAACCAACCCGTTAAAGCATGAATCCAGAGTGAGGCGATAAATCTTTTCGGGAGCAGTGTTATGTGGCTCGGCTTGTAAGCGGCTGATCCTGGTCAATGGACAGGGAGTGTGGTGTGGAACCCTCAAGCTTAAGTCTTCTATCGATGAAGCGTCATGACATGAATCAAAACGCGAGACAGAGGCAAGCAGCTGTAGATACGATACGACACGCGTATACACATGAGGAGAAAAGTGCAAAGAGCATCGCTGCATAAGATGTCTCTTCACTAGCCTGCAGCAGTCTGGACGTACTTTATGTAGCGACACGAGACTCATGGATCGGCCCTCTTGCAGTGAACGCTCCTATTGTTAATGCCCTGTGACGCTACTGATGTTTGATTGGGTTTGCCTCGTGCCTTCACGCCTTCACTTCGCTGCCTCCATCATTTTTACCTCACCATACGATAGGGCAAGCCGATTTCGTTCTCGCGTCATGGTTCTCTGTGTCTCTCCTCTATGGATAGTTCCATCCACCCCCTTCTGTCTCCTTCTCCTTGAAGCGCTTGTCGCAATCGATGAGCGGCTGCCTCGCGCGCGTCAACCACGTAGCCATTCTGCCGGCGATCGATGAGCAAAGAGATACGAGAGGAACTCTCGCGATCTGCCGCCGGTGGCGCGTGTGTACGATGGCGATTTGTGTACGATGGTGTTTGACCATTTTCGCCTCTCGCTGTTTTTGATTTGCAAGCCCCTACACTACAAGTGAGACGACACGAGAGCAGATACAGGCATCAATGTGTGTGTGTGTGTGTGTATGTGTGTGTATGTGTGTGTGGACATGTAGGGGTTGCACATTCCACCGCATCATCCCCATGTTCATGTGCCAAGGTATATGCACGAATGTACGCATGCACCACGCTCGGTGTGAATGTGTGAATGTGTATGTATGTGTTGCTCAGGTGGTGATTTCACGGCCGGCAACGGCACTGGTGGCGAGAGCATCTACGGCGAGAAGTTTGCTGACGAGGACTTCTCATTCAAGCACACCGAGCCGTACCTCCTCTCCATGGCCAATTCCGGTAGATTCCGACACACACGGCTCAACGGAGACGTACGTGACTGAACCGACACACCCCGTGTCGTACATGTGTGCAGGTCCGAACACGAATGGAAGTCAGTTCTTCATCACGACGGTGTCCACTCCCTGGCTCGACGGCAAGCACGTCGTCTTCGGCAAGGTACACACATGACAACTGTGCTCACCGTCATCTGTGTCTGTCATGCAGGTACTTGACGGGGCCAATGTGGTGAAAGCGATGGAAGCCCAGAGCAGTCAGGGCGGCCGCACCGCACGGCCGGTCATCATCGCTGGCTGCGGCCAGATCGCCTAAAGGATCAGAGAGGCACGGCACAGAGAGACATTAAGGCCAATGTGCGTAAAGGAATGGCAGTAGAGTTTATGTGCGGGCAGTAGAGTCTTTTGATGACGCACGAAGAGACAATAGGACACAACATATGAAGAGACATGCGACTGTTCAGTTCTTGTCTTCTGACCACAAGCCGACAGTCTAATCGCCCTATCTAAAAGGGCCGTCTCCTTGTGTCTTCGATCTGCCTCTCCAATCGAGCAATGCTGCTTTCCAGTTCACGCAACTTCTGCTGCATCTCATTGGTCGCGGCAATCTGTCTGCCTTCATGATACCGCATTCTTGCAAGCTTTCGCTCTTGCTCGATCCTCAAGTCCCGCAGCTGTTTCCGCGAGCGCTCCAGCTTGTCTACCTCTCTCCTTTGCCGCAGTCGTCTTCCGGCGTCGCTCTCTCCCTCCTATGGCTGTCCTTCACCAGCAGCCTCTCCGCCAGTGGCAGATGATGCAGCCCCGCACCTCCCGCCGCGCCATCACAGCCGACCAGCGGTAAGTGAAGGGCGGCGTGCCGCCGTTGAGAGGGAAGAGCGACGTCATGGGCAGGGCCACTGACGGGGCAGCGGCGGCTACAACAGTGTAGGGCCGCTCTGCCGAGCACCTGAAGGACGGCCCCAGGCCGGCTTCCGTCACTCTCGCCGCCACGCACATCAGCAGGAGGAGCAGCAGCGCTGTCCAGACCACCCCATTCCGCATCTCACTCGCCCCCAGATTGGTCTTCCCTGCCGAGCTACACGCATTCGGACCCTCCAGAGACCCACCAGCTGTGCAGGAGACCAAGGTGCGCTCACTCGTGCGTGAGTTCCCGAATCGCTTCCGATTCGATCCCCGCACATAAGTCGTCAGATTTTTAGCGGGTGGCCATGGATGTGAATGTCTGTGTGCGTGCAGGGGAGTGTCACAGGTCTATGTGGGCTTCTGCCCGGGTGGATGTAGAATCTGGTTCCAACAGTGTGTGGTTTCTGTGAAATGCTCACATGCAGTGTCGCCCTTCTTTTGCGGCTGGCCGTGTGTGTGTGTGTATGCCAGAGAATGTCGTCGCTCGTTGACAGCGGACATGTGAATATGTACGACATTCGCCTCTCGCTATTTCGGCAGCGGTTCAGGGAGCCCTCCCGCTATTTCTGACTGCCTCTTGATTTGGGGACGTGTTGTTATGGGTCGGGCTTGGGTTGTTGGGTGGTTTGGTAGGGCATGTAATAGTCGCTTGTGTGATTGCGTTTGATGGGCTGTTCGGTTTATATCAGAGTGCTGCTATCATCCATGCCGTATGGTGCGCATGTGTTTCTGCGATTGCTTGTGTCTTTGCGTGTGCAAATCCATACCGACTCTAGATCAGCCATACGCCCCCGTGTAAACGATTCTTGCTGACTGCGAGCCCACGCCTTGACCAACCGACTCGTTAGAGGCTCTGGAACTACGTCCAGTGTGGCGTCATAGCCGTAGATGAGTATCCCATAACCGTTGTTGAGTGAGTTGAATCATCTGGTGAGTCATCAATGTACGGACCGCACGGTGAGCCGCTTCCCGCCGTCCATCCGCCGCCTGTGCAACACAGATGGGGCAACCTGCTGACGGTACGATGAAGAAAGAAAGACAAATGCAGTCAGATCTCCGCACCCGGATGGATGGATGGACGGCTGGTGCTCCGTGCTTATGTGCGTCGGTGTGCAGATATTTAGCCTCACGACCATCGCCCTGCTCCTATGCTGCCTCCTAAGCCACGGATGGTGAGCGAATCACTTTGTTTCCTCCCATTCATCAGGCGCGCCGGCCCATGTGTGTGTGTGTGCAGGATGTCTGGCAGCGGCCGGACGGCGTTCAACCAGGTGCATGTGGACGTCGGGCTCTTCTCCATCAGATCGAAACAGGTGAATAATATAACGACACACACATAGTCTGCAACACCACACCACCCTCTCGTGTGTGTGCTGCCTGTCTGTCAGATCTTCTTCACGCCCTACTCTAACAAGCAGGTGGAGGGCCAGAGCCGCTCCATCTCCCTCGCCAAGCTCCGCCAGTCGCTGTGCGGCGAGCAGGACGACTCAGACAGCGGCGGCGGACAGAACTTCGGGCCGTTCGGCTCCTCGTCCGACAGCTGCACATACGTCCGGTCCTTCTGCGTCGTGGCCACCTTCACCATCCTCTTCATCCTCATACAGATCTTATGCCGGGCGGCGGCCCTCCGGCTGATCCAGAAGATGTCCGCAGCTGTCGTCATGGTGTGGAGGGGGGCGCCCGCTCCCACCGTCGAGCCCAGGAGAGGCATGCCGCCTCTCTCGGCCCTGTGGTCGACGCTCGACACGCGGCCTTACTATGCGATCGCGGATGTGCCGTACCACCCCTTGGACCTGTTTGTGTGGGCCAAGCTAGTGACCATTCTGGAGGGGGTGCTCTCGGTGGCTATCGTCGTCACGTGGCTGATCGTGGTGCACGCCGCGCAGTCACATCTCGACAACACTCCCGTTATCGGCATTGCAACGAATATCCAGTAAGCTGCCCTACCAACGAACCAACCGCCGAACGAGCCAGCCCCGCCCACCCACCCCTGCTGTGGTTGGTTATCAGTTTCTCTCCCGGGTTTTCTTTGGTGTTTGTGTGCGCCGTGCTGTTGATGTGCATCGTCAACTACACCATCCTCGACTACATCAAAGTAAGCAACCAACTGCACACAACACCCACAACGCTCACAAAGACACACACCCATGTATACCTGCGTCCCGGCTCACACACCCACACACATCAGGCATACGAGTTCCAGCCCCTGCTGAACGTCACCGTGCAGCCCCCTCCCCGTTGGCAGGGCCCCGCCGCCCTCCAGCAGAGCCTTCTACCCCAATGGCACGCCCCACAGACCATGCCGGCCGGTCCAGGGGGGCCAGGCAATCCTGTGGCTCCCGGCAGCTCGCCGCCTGAGCTGCAGGTGAGGTCGGGGGAGGGGGGCGTCACCTTGTAGTCAGTCAGTCAGCTGGGGCGTGTGTGTACACTATGGCTGAGAGGAGAGAGTAGATAGCTAGAGCGGGGAAGGAGGGCTTTTAAGCTGTGTGGTGATTGATGAGGTGAGAGTCATCAATCATGAGACTGACTGACTGACTGACGGGCGGTGTCAATAGCTGGTGGTGTGGTGTGGTGTGGTGTGGCTGCAGAGGAGAGGCGAGAGATGGTTAGTGTATGTGTGTATGTGTCTATTTGTCCGTGAAGTGCCAGTTCGGACATCGAGCACATCGACAGCCCGCACGACCGACTGACTGACTGACTGACTGACCAACTGACTCGATCGACATACATATCTAGTGTCGGCGTGTGCACCTGCACTGCACTGCACCCATCAGCCGATGTCAGAACAAAACTGGCCGTTGACACATGCACATGCAGGCAAGGTCCATTCCATGAGTCACCCACCCCCCATGTCAGTCAAAAATCCAATCCCCCATGACACGACACACCCAGGCAGGCATGTGGCTCGGTCACCCGAGCGAACACCACATCACATCACATCACACCACACCCCCAGCACGCCACCCCATCGTGTGTTGCTTGTGACCGTGAGCCATGCCACTGTCGTATCCAACAACTACCTCATCGGTCTTCTAGCCATTTTGGTGGCAAGAAGACCGGTGCAGCGGTGTCCGGACATGGCACTCGCATAACTCGCAGTCGAACAACGACACGATGCAGGGTGGGCCTCAACGCAACACGAGACCGTACCGTACTCATGCAGACAGACCGTTCGCGTCAACAGTGCCTTCAACGCCTCGACTCACTCATATCCACAGACAGGCACCCACCTATGATAGACAGGCAGGCAGGCAGGCAGGGAGGGCGGCAGCCATGTGCAGACAGACAAGACCCACCACGCGGAAAAAACTCTCGAGCCATCACAACACTGTACACACATGACATGAGCTTTACGCCCGTTAACCTCTGCCCTGCCCGTGTCTGTCTCTGTCTCTGTCTGTGTCAGTCTAGTCTATGCCCCAGCGACTGCCCCAGCGACTGCCCCAGCGACCAGCCCCGCCCGCTCGAGGACGACCTGTCCGATCTTCTCGTGGATGCCGAGGCAGCTCGTCACCTCGTACTCGACCGACGGGTGAGACGCCATGGCATCCATCACCTGAACAAGAAGCACAGACAGACAGACAGACACACAGAAATGATGCGCCTTGAGCAGTGAGAGCATGTGCGTGTGTCTGTATTGGTTACATACCATTTTGGGTATGTCTTTCGTCGCATGGCGTCCAGGCGCCAGCATGTAAGGATGCACAATGATCTTCTCCGCACCGGCCTACACAACACACAACACACACACTTGTGAGCTGTTACCCTGTCGGTCGGCCGGTCTGTGTGCCTCCCTCCCCCACCTTGACGCATTTGTCAACCACCTCGGGTATGTTGGGCTCTGCAATCTCCATGTGCGCCGCATCCACAATCAAGTCATCCCGCTGCCCCTGCACCAGCCGCGCCACGTCGAATATCATGTCGTTGGCAGCCTTGAGCCGCGAGCCGTGGTCAACCAGCAGCAGAGCCACCTTCTTGCCACCACACTCACTGGGGGGGGGGTCTGCCGAGGCCGCCTGGGTCTCTCTCTCCTCCTTGACAGCTCGCCGCTGCCTCAGGATGTATGTCGAGGCGGCCACGACGACAGCGACAGACGCGCCCATCGCCATCACTTGAGACAACGCCAGCGACGCCGTGTCACTCCCCAGGAGAGTTCCCATCTTTCTCCTGCTCCTTTCCCCCTCTCTGTGGACACGTTTCACGCACCCGATCCTGCCAGGTAATTTTTGGGCTGTAGGCCTCCCCTTCCCGTGTGCTGGAGGAGTAGCCATCATGAGTTTCTTCCGCACGGCCATCCGCGGGCTGCAGGCGCGTGTGGCTCGTCAGGTGCCTGTGGCGTGGACGAAGCCGGGGCAGAAGTGGACGGGCTGGAACAGCAGCGGGTTCACCAACTGGGACAACACCGGCCGCATCAGCCCCTGGGGACTCCACCCGCCATCCCACATCGGCGGGCACAGCGTCGGCGGATCTGCCACGCTCGAGAGAGAGGTACAGGGAGGGAGGGACGCCACAACACGACACGTGGACGCGGGACAGCCAGGACAGGACAGCACAGCACAGCACAGCACAGCACGGCACACAGACACGTGCAGAGGGCAGGGGAGGCAAAGGCAAGTGTTGTGGGTGTGTTGTGTTGTGTTTGCAGACGTGGGCAGAGTGGTTCTATCGCTGGCTGGATGTCTCGGGCTACTGGAGCAGATGGAACAGGTCAGCAGGGGAGGGACCAGAGGCGCACAGACAGACAGACAGACAGGCGTCACAGGGAAGCGAAGCGCGTCCATCCGCCCACCCTCCTGTATGTGCGTGTGTGTTGGCTGTGCTGTGCTGTGCTGTGGTGTGTTGGTCTGGTGTGCAGTCGCAAGTATTTGCTGTTGGACATGGACCCGAACGAGCGTTACAAGATGATCATGATGACCGAGTACGAGCGCAAGTGGTTCATGCTGCAGATCGGCATGGGCGCCTGCCACCTCCCCATACTCTTCTACATCTGGATCCTCTCCATCCAACACATGGTACCTACCCTACCCTACCTACGCGCACACACTCGGTGGCTGGGCTGGCTGACATGGCTGCCCTGCCATGGATGGATGGATCCAATCCATCGATTGACTGGTTGATCGATATATCAGATGCACAAGCCTCCGATTCCCGCCAAGGCTCCCCAGCCGTTCGTCGACGCGCGCAAGACCGACTACAGCTGGCACAGCGAGGCCCCCTGGTTCTGGGCCTACCCCAAGCACAGATGCAGAGAGTGCAGATGGAGCGACTGGGAGTGCAAGGTGGGTGCGGTCAAACAACAAACCAACCATCCAACGAAGGACCTTCCTCTCCCTCACTCTGCCTGTCTGCCTGTCTGTCTGTCTGTCTGTGTGTGTGTGTATGTATGTATCGGTGTGTGTGTATTGCAGAAGGAGTGTTTCGAGAAGCTCAAGAGTGAGGGCTACCGTATCTGGGGTTTCGACATCAGCCGCGCCAAGCACTTCCTGGTCATGCCGGAGGAGCCCAAGAAGCACAGAGACCTCAAGGAGGAGGACCAGCTATCCGATAAGTACCGATCCAGACGGGCCATGTGGAAACCTGGCACCATCTGTGAGGACTGGTCTATCTAGTCACACTCGCATCACATACAATACACACACCGGGGGGTGGGTGGGTGGGTCAGCGAATGGATGGACAGCGGGGCGTGTGGGCCTCCTCCCTCCCTCCCTCCCTCCCTCCTGTCGTCTGAGAGGCATGGTTGGATGGAGGGAGGGAGAGGGCCCTCGGTGCTCTCGTCTCTGCCCAAAATGGTTTGCCTGCCTGCCTGCCTGCCTGCCTCGTTTGTTTTCGTGGGGGGACACCACACCACACCACACCTTTTTTGCTGTATGCCTGCCATGGAATGTGTGCAATATGTATGCAAATGTGTGCAGTGCAAGCATCGTTCCGTGCGAGCGTGTGTGCGTGGATGGGCCTGCCTTTGAAGCCACACGCACCAGAGAACGAAAGTGGGAGAGAGGGAGGAGAGGGAGGTGGGGAAATGGTGTCTGTACGATACCTGTGAGAGTGACAGCAAGTGCGGGAACGAACCCTAGTAGAAAGCCCTCAGTCGGCTGGACTGAGTTGGCCTTACTAGCGTGCCTGCCTACCGACATGCCTGGCTCTAACTCTGGCATCTCTCTCTGACACACAGGTCGGCATCGCGGGGCTAGACGACCCTCTCAGGTTGAAACGCGGGGGGGCCAGCTGGCCCGTCGATGGACATGTGGGCCGGGGAGAGGTGGACGAGTGGGGGCTGAGCTGTGCAGCGGGTTGTGATGTGTGGTGTTGTGTGTGCTGGCTGACTCGACCTGACTTGCCCATGCTTGTGTGGTGTGGTGTGTCGGTCGTCTGTCTGTGACGGTCGGTGGCCTCGCGAACAGTTGATACCTACCATACCTACCGGATCAATGACAATTTGTTACCTACAGCAAATTCTCAACATGGCCCATCGCACCCCACCTTCCCATCCCGTCCACCAACCCACCCACCATCATGGGCCAACATTGACCGAGACTAGCTATACTGTCCGTCTCGTCAGTGGACGTCATTGCTGTACCACGATGGCCTTCTCCCTCGCGGCTCTTGCGCACAAAAGCCGCGAGTGTCTCTTTCCCTTTGTCAGTTGGATGTCGCGTGGCGTCTATCGACAACACACATGTCAGAAAGAAGTGGCTTCCACATGCGCACACCGATTGTGCACACGTAAGAGCTGCCGAGCGCTTGCTTTACAGGAAGTAAATTTCCATTTTGGCGAGAACTTGAGACAGGAGACGGCAAAAAGAGGCTGTGCGCTCTCGCTTTTCCTCCGCCCTCGCCACAGCCGCCAAGAAACGCTCTCTGCCAAGCGCCGTCCAGCCCACACAGCCGTGCAAACAATACCAACGCGTCTGTGAGCCTCCTTTCTCGCAACAGCCTGCACCCTGCCGCCGCCAAGAAATTCAGATAAGTCGGCAGTGAGTGCACTGCACTGCAGCCAGCGCAGCCAGTGACTGACGCGCCCGCGACACACGAGCGCGTTCGCCAGCCAAGGAGACGACCAAGGAGGAGAGGCCGCCGCTGACACGCGAGATTGATAAATCGTCAGCTGGTCGGCCACGAAATATGACGCAGTCCATAGCCCCGATACTGGACCTGCCGGGCATGGCCGGAGCACTGATGCCGGTGCACCCAGACTTCGGTAAGTCAGCCAGCCACACGCTACTTGCTGTCTCAGTTGGTCACGGGTCATTTTCCATTGTGTTGTGTTGTGTTGATATGTATGGTGTGTGTGGCCTGATTGATGGTTGCAGACAATGATAGCACGTCTGGCAGCACTAGCACCAACACCAACACCCAACCAGCCACAACACCCAACCCCAACCAGCCCAGCCAGCCGCCCCACCCGACACCCCCGGCGGAGGAGGCCAACAACTTACCCACCCACAACACCCAACACCCCAACAACAGACCGTCCCCCACAGCGAACACCGTGCAGGCGAGGCAGCTGGTGTGCCCGACCCCCAAGGACGCCTTCACTGCGTAGTAAGCCAACACGCACACCTCACTGACACACCATCCAACACACCTTCTATGGATGTGTGTGTGTCTCACCTCTCTGTCTGTCTGATGTCTGTCTGTCTGCCTTGTCATGCAGCGTCAAGCAGAGAGCGTTTGAGCGCTCGCTGTCGTCGGAGGGCCGTCACGAGTCGCCCCAGCAGCACTACGAGCGGAGCGTCCCTGCGGAAGAGGACCGCCTCATCATCGAGGCGGGCCTCAGCCGCGAGAGCTTCGACTCGATGTAAGGGGGCTGCCGTCAGTCTTTCACTGGCCGAGACACACACGAGACACCCCCACATCCATGTGTGTCTGCGTCTCTGTGTGTGTCTCCCCTGTGTGTGTGTGCAGGGTGTTGTTGGGGGCGTACGCTCTCTGGGAGAGGGAGAAGACCGAAGGCCGCCCCCAACAGTCATCAGAGCACTACTACTACGCTGCCCTGGCTGCCGAGAGGGAGGCACTCGCGATCAGCTACATCAAGAAGATCCAGCTCAGCCGCGTGTCCACAAGTGCCTGATGTGTCTGTCTGTGGGTCGGTGTGGTGGATGGGCCGTAGACCAGTGGATGGTGGATGCATAGCTGGTTGTGCCGAGCAGACGGTTGCAGAGAGAACGATGTATCGCAGTCAGTCGACTGAGTGTGGTTGGTGGACAGACAGAACAGACAGACAAAGTGATATGACAAGGAGGGAGGGATGGAGTAGCGAGAGAGACAAGGAGCCACGG